TATAATGGAATAAAATCATTTCTTGCCGGCCAATTAAAAAGGAAAAATACTTTGAGATGATATTGTATGTATGAAAGTCAAATTAGCTTGTCCACGTATCTGTTATAATTTTTTATATAAATTAATAAAAAAATAATAAATACATTGTTAATTAATTTATATTCTTAAAATACAAATTAAAAAAATCCTTCATCAAATTATATATCATTGTAATGGGAGCGCTTTCTCCATAAGGATAGCATTCATGCGTGCTTTAACAAGCTCCTCTAAACCCTTCTCAGTTTTGATTGTTTTCTAATTGATATTAAAATCCTTCTTTGCTTTGATTGTTTTCTAATTGCTATTATTTTGTTATAGTCTTGGTTTTCCTCTCTAAAGTTCATAATTCTAGATTATTTTTCAACATTAGGTAGGAGGACGTGACTTCATGTTGCTTCTGCCACTACATTAAAGATGTTTTTATTAAAAACGAGAAAGAAAAGATTTTATGAGAATAATACTTCTTCTTGTGTATTATTTGTGAAAAATTTTAACAAGTTATAGATGTATAAATTGAAGAAATAAAGAAAGTTTACACAAATTACAACGTGAAAAGAGAAAGTGTGAGAGAAATAAAGTATAAATACAGAAGATTAATATTCTGATAAATCAATCTTTATATCATTGTATTTGAATGCATACTCCATGAATCAATTTGCATAATTTTTGCCATTTGTCCATCTTCTCCTTTGATTCAATGTATCAAGGCATTTGTTAAGGAGACAAATGTTAATTTGTAGTCCAGCTGTCCTCTTGTTAAAGAAACATATGTTCTTTTATTTGTACCAGCTGTCATTTTGCTTTAATAGTTGTAGCCAATGGATAGCTAAAATGTGTAGGCGGGTGTGACTACATTTGATTTATATTATACACATGTCCTTACTAATTGTTTAACATAAACAGAAAATCTATAGGTAATACAATAAGTACAATGGTTTTTGTTTTTAAACTAATGCATTAAACAAGTATATATAATAGTGATCTATGTGTAATCTTGAATAAGAAGAATCAAGCATCAAATGCTGGTCATATTATACATATTATTGTCTGAGCAACATTATACATCAATAAAGGCTGCCAACTATCAATTATTCATGACTTTCATGTGACAAAGCAAATGAAACCTTGTATTGGTAACCCCCTTTGTATTAATATTTGTATTCCTTAGGAAGAAGGCAAAGGGCCTTTCTTTTGTGCATCACAATCCCAGGAGCTGAATCAAAGTCTAGGTCTTCCTTCTTCATCCCACAAGGTATTTCCCAATCAAATCTATAAAGAAGATTAGAAAGCACGAGTTCTATCGTGGCAACTCCCATATGCAATCCAGGGCAAATTCTTCGACCAGAGCCAAATGGTATGAGCCCAAAATCTTGTCCCTTATAGTCAATGGAACTACCTATGAATCTTTCAGGACAGAACTCTTCAACATTTTGACCCCAAGCTTCAATATCCCTTCCTATTGCCCATGCATTCACATAAACTAACGTTTTGGCTGGAATTTTGTACCCACTAATGTTGCAATCTCGAATTGTCTCTCGTGGTAGAAGCAATGGAGTTGTACTTTGTAATCTGAATGTCTCTTTAACTATGGCTTTCAGATATGGTAAATCTTTAATATCATCTTCGTTTACAAATCCTTTCTTCCCAACCAAATTCCTCACTTCGTCTTGAGCTTTTTTCATAGCTGTTGGATGTTTCATTAACAAGGTCATTCCCCAAATCACTGTGGCAGCACTTGTGTCTGTTCCAGCAATAAATACATCCTAAAAATAAAAAGAAAAATGTTCAAACAGAAATACGAAGCAAATTAATTAAAAGAACGAAACAATTAATTAACAGATTACCATGAGAACGGCTTTGATGTTATCATAAGAAAAATCAAAAGTAGACTCAGCATCATTCATAATCCGGAGGAGAACATCAATTATATCTTCTCTTTTAGGTTTTTGTCTTTTTGGATCAAGATGGTCGTCAATGAGTTGTTGTAAAAAAGCATCCATTTCCTTGAAAACTTTTTCCAGACTATAAGTCATTCCAGTGATTCTATCCATCCAACCCATTGAAGGAAAGTAGTCAGTGACAAAGAAGCTTACAAACATAGCCTCAAGTTGTGCATGGAATTCATGAAACCTACTTATTTCTGCCCCTTCATGTTCATATCTTTTGCCAAAAGCTATGCGACAGATGAAGGCGCTTGTAAGACACTCTGTAACCTGGCTCAGATTTATGGGTTTAGAGGCAGCAGATGATTTCAAAATCTTTTCAATCAATTGAGAAACTTCATCCTCCCGAATAGGACGATAGAGTTCAGCCATTTTGGAGTTAAAGAGATGGATGACGCAGATTTTCCTAATCTCCCTCCAATAAGCATTATATGGGGAAAAAGATACATCTAATCTATTGTAGGACAGCTTTTGAAGGCTAAGCAACTGAGGCCTACTACAAAAATCAAGGTCATGGGTTTTCAGGAGCTCTTTAGCCATATTTGCTGAAGAAACTATTAGAGTTGGCCGGTAACCAAGTTTAAGGGACATGAGAGGGCCATATTTTTGAGAGAGTTGCCAAAGATAAAGGTGAGGAGCTGACTTGATGAACTGGTGTAAGTTTCCTATCAAAGGAAGGCCTGGTGGTCCTGGTGGAAGAAGATTGGTATTGCTACCGTTGCTTCTCTGTTTAAGGAGAAGAAAAAAGAACAGAGGGATGCCTAGAAGGATGAAGATTAATGACATATTTGGTGATCCCAAGGAACTAGGTGGAAAATTTTATGAAAAATTGCAAAGGAGAATGCCTTCTATATATAGAAGCCGCACACTATTATATAATATGAAAATAATTGGGGCATAATTTTTTTAAAATAATTTTATGTATTTTTTAATGATTAATTTTT